TCTCTCTCTCTCTCTCTCTCTCTCTCTCTCTCACACACACACACACACACACTCTCGCCCCCCTGTGAAAATGCACAAAGGGGGAAAAGCTCGAAATACATTTCCCTCTCAGCATAATTTTTAGACGAGTTTTGACTAATCTCCCTTCAAAAGTCAAACCCGCCAGACGGCTCCATAACTTCAACAATAACTGGGACAGAGAAGTGCTCTTGGATTGCTCTCGAGCACCAGGTTTAATTAAAAACTTACAATCATTGCTCGCCAGACGCAAATCCGGGTTTAGAAGGGAAAACATTATATTTGTAAAAGACCACTGACGAATACAGGCAGTTGTTGAGAAGTGTTAACAGTAAATCATGGGGGACAATGGTCGCAGTTAAAAAGGAACAGAGTGTTTTTCAAAATGCTGACAAGAAGTAGAAAAAGCAGACCACAAAGAATGCCCACAAGCCACTTGTGAGCAAAACTCGAGGAAAAATTACAACCATGCAAATTTATAGCAGTTCCTCTCCCCCCAAGTACATCGTATTGAGCTTAGTTTTTGTTTTAGTGCGAGTTTTACGGTACTTGCAACACATTTAGGTCAAACAAAACGTCGAAGATTATAGTTGTCAGAGGGGGCTCTCGTGGCCGGGAGGTTAAGGTGTTCGCCTCTCATTCAAAGGTCACGGGTTCGAATCCGGGAAGCGACCAAAACATTTTCTTCTCTAAAATTGTCTCCTTTCACCTCCTTTCCTGCTCTCAGGGAATGTTCTGTCGTCTGCTTTCGTCTCCACTTTCTGCCCCTACCCCCTCACCTCCTTAGCCGGGCTTCTGACTCTTTCTGCAGCCTTTCTACTGCTACTCTTTGGCTTCTTCTCACCGCTGTCTTTCATCCACACTTGAAGGAAAGATCTACACCTAGCCTTATCGGACAAGGGTGAAAAATCTCGGAGGTCCCACGTGCAAGTTGCGCACGTTAAAGATCCCTTAACTAGGCCGCCATCCGGGCAAAATTCAAAATTACCTACCAATCAAAAATGTTTAATGCGTCCCGCGCACTCATATGACTTAATAATGCAGTTGCGAGCGCCGTAAAACACTTACCAAAGATGTTGTCAGAGAGAAACATACAAAAAAGGAGGGGAGTTAAAGATGAAAAATGCATTATAGGAAAGAAGCAGCAAACCAGACCAGAGCACCCGCCAACGACCCACTGGTTTTGAGTGTAGAAGAGGTTGTCATGAAAAGGCTTGAAAATAGTCATTGTTGACAACATAATCAAACAGTGCCAGATCTGGAACGGACGTGGGCAATAATAGTTTCTCTGCTTGGAGCTTGGATGCTCATCCCCTCCCCCCCAAACCCC